TAGCGTTGATCTTTCTTTTGCTCACTTGTACAGTTGCTACCGAACTTACACCACAGAACATGTCTAACCTCGTCGAACATCATCGAGGATTTGTCAATCAGAACTTTGGCTCTTTCCATATCAAACCATGAGTTGGTCACTTGGGATGCTCCAGATGCCCAAGATCTGTATCTTCGTTTGTTAATGTATGTTCTTGAGGCACCCAGTAAAAATCAGATCTCTCTTTAAAGACTCTTCCTCCCTGCATCTCATCCTTGGTTCAGAACGTCTTTGGACGTGAACGTCCTCGTCCGCAGCTCGTCCTCGCCAGGTCCAGTGTCACCTGATGGAGCTCAGTCAATCAAGCTCCGTGGAGGCAAGAAAACGATGCGATTCTGGGCGAGCCATTTGGGCGATGGGAGGTGAGATGGAGCTGAGCTTGAGAAGCGCCTGTCGAAGTCGAAGTCGAAGTCGACCTGTGATGTGAACAGAAACGAATTACTTTCTTCCGTCCGGAAGATAAGACATCACAGGTCCAACTCTGCTTAGTCTGGCAAGATGATTGATCCGTGATCATTGTTTTAAAGAGCAAGTATCCAGAGAAGCACTGCTTCCTGTTCTACATTTGGAACCCCAAAGTTCAATTCCACGTCAGATGGACTTGTGATGAGAAAGTCCTTTCGATCAGATAAATGACTAACAAACAACTCATGCATGGCATATTGGGTTGATGGTGTTCTTGGGCGTTCTCTTCAATTAGCATCACTGCATGTTTCGCGAGAGACAAGAAAGTAGAGTGAGCCTGACGAGGATTGAGCAGGTTCCATGTGGTTGTGAAAGATGCTTTCGTATTTGCATTTTGGAGACACCACTACTGTGGGCCCCCGTGTTTTTGCACCTCAGCATTGCTCCTCGGTTCATGAACGTGCATATTGTGGATCGTTTGCGAGGGGTCATTTTCTTATTTAGGACGTTTTTGCTACAGCGGCGTAGCAGTTTTCAAAGACTGCAATAATGAACACTTGTCAGTCGGAGCCCAATATGTTTCAAACGGGAATCTTGCTGGCTAGTCTCCCTATGTGTTCAACGTTTGTTTGGAACCACCTTTGCGGTTCATGAAACGCGCAGGAAGACAAAGTTAGTGAAACAAAGATGAGGTGTTGACATTGATGATCCAACTCATTGTGCCCCCACCCTGGGAAAGAAAAACATGGCATGACCGTGTGGTCGCATTTCAACATGTCCTTCACGAATACAGTACACTACGTTACGTGTTTTCAAGTTGAAGATTCTCTTACTCTAAGTCCGCACTACCTCTCGACCTCTTGCATGGATCGATGTCGGACCTGTTCTTGCTTGGATCTATTCTGTGATTGGAAAGGTGTGCGTTGGTTTGTCAAAAAGCCCTTGATGAAGGTGCTGAACAGCAAGAGATCCTGCATTATTTTCGCTCGGAGTAATCAAGAACTGGTCGGAGTGTCAGACCATTCACCCCATATCAGACCATTCAGTTGAACGCATCAGTTGACATGTGCTATTCGACCAGCCGGGCGAAGGCCTTGGGACCGCAGGAGGCCTTGGGACAGCGCGGGCCCTCGTCGTTTCGCCAGCGCGGCGGCGCAGATGTCCAAAGCAAGTAGACCCCGATAGTCTGACGAACATGGACCCTAAAGCTCTGGCAATTTGTTAGCTGCGATGTTTACAGGGTTTAGGGCTTGCGGCTGAAGACAGTCCAAGCAAGGAGTTGTTATAGTATAGGCTTAACGGCTGTTTGCAATTGTTCATGATGTCTGGCACGCTTGGTGCCAAGTGATGGACAACGCTCGATCATGCCCTGATTCACAATAGGCTTTCTTGGTGCATTGTTTGTTTCCTGCAAATTGGAGCTCATGAACTGAAGGCCCCCTTCCAGAGCTGCAACGGGGGAAGAGCTGGGGGCATGTGACTTGTTTTTGGGAATGGGTTGACAGGAGATGACAGGAGGAAGGATGAAGTGAAGTAATGATGCATGCATGGCGTAGGCCAAAACATTCTCTGTTGGTCAAGCTTAGCCTTTGATTGAGCCTTGAGGCAGCAAGCCAACCTGATGAATTTGACATGTTCACCCCATGTCTGATGTCTCAAATTTGAAGCTAGCATTCTGTCAATTTGCTGGTGGTGTTGCATGAGACCATTAGCAGCAAGCCATTGTTGACTGTTACTGTGCAGGAGAGGGAGTTTACAGTACTGTAACTCAAATTCCGTGGAAAAGAGATCCAAATCAAACAAACGACACTCCTGAAAACTAATATGGACCCGGGTCAAATGGCACCCTGAAGGACAGTTTTCCTCAACAAAACCAGTGCTTTGTTTGTTCTTGTCGAGGTATGCAATTGGGCCAGCTTCTGAAGGAGCCTTGCAGAAACATGATAGATCTAAATCTCCACTACATGCGTACAAGCCCGACAAGCTCCATTAGTTCCTGAACTGAGACTGTCTCCTGAATTTTCCTGAACTGTTCTTGGACAGCAATCAGCCTGGTCAAGAGTTTGGGTCTACAGTCGAAACAGTGGCTGAAACCGCCAAGCAGTCTGTGACAGTTGAAGGGACTCCGCAGGGACTCCCCCAAAAACCAGGTTCTTTGTCCACCGAATGATGCAACACTTGTGCTACACCACAGTATACTTGTGCTTTCCGCCCAGAGCGCGCAAACTGCTTGCAGCGGCCAGTGGGACCACTGAGGAACTGGCTCTTGCGGCTAGGGACACCAGGAGGCCGACGTTTGGGGAGTGGGCACACACAGTCCCACATCGCATGATTTCTTTATAGTTTTTTCGTCCAGAACTGACATGACATGTCACCACAGTCAACGCAAACGTTCTGTCCCGTGTTGTCAACAGCCCTTCCACTTGTGGGAGACTGGACAGGAATAGTACATGCCACAAAAAGCGACCCCTTTGGAGATGCTTGATGCCTATCGTTTGGACATGTTTGGACCCGAGCAAAAATCCATGACCAAATTGTCCCGCATGTTTTCTGGTAGTGAAGGGACTCTGCCATACTTTGCCTAAATTGATGTGCTTGCTCACCAAAGGAACCCATACCGAGATTGAACACGCTTACTTTCAGTGAAGCTTGTAAGAGAAGGAGTACAGAACCCATCAGAACCCTGTGTTTCCATCAGCACAGGTGCTCAAGAATGACTGACGCGGACAAGTTTGCCGTTGTAAGCCAATTTGCCAGCCCATTATATACATCTATATAACTATACAGATGCCACCCCAAAACCATCCCAAAACCACCCATGAATGTCCTTGAACATCTTGAACTGGTCATGGGCCATTCACGGGAGAAAACAAAGGGTCCTGGTTCAGCTATGACTATGAAGAATCCAAGACCTCACGAATTCTTTCAACCCACAAAATGGTTTGCTGGATGTTCGTGGATGTCAGACAACCAAATCGTGTTCGTCGATGTCCAGGCAACCTGCGTCGACCATTCCGATTCGCATGGTCGCTCCCGTCGACCTTTTCCCTGAGGCGACCGTCGCTCCCGGCTGCTCAGCGGTCGAGAACAGGCCCAGTGGCGGAGCATTGACGCGCGGTGCAGCAGACGCAGCAAGCAATAGGCTTCAAGGTGCAAAGGTGCAGAATCACCAGATAGAACCCCACCAAATCCAAGTCAATCAAGTGTTGCAGGGGGCTCATGATCAGGTTCTGTGTTTTGTGGGTGGTCGATCTTGGGATTGAAGAGGCCAAAGAAACATTGAAGCTTTGTGGACCGAATAACCAGGGCTGTGTGGTGCGTGTTTACTACTATTTCGGGGACCCGAATCACTTTGGAGTGACTGCCATAGTGACATACTGAAGGGTGATACTGCTGGATTTATACTCCGAGCAACACCTCACATGGTCGTGGAGGGCACCACATGTTTGTAGTGGAGTCCATAGTAATCCGGCCATGCCATCCACCTCCGTGAGGGTTTCAGAGAATGGTGGATAAAATGCAACCTTGTCACCCTTGTCTTGACAACATGCTGCCTGAGATATGTCGGCAATCAGGGGAAGATTGGGTGGTGTTACTGTATGTTACTGTTGGATTGGCCCCCTGAACCGTTGGATAGGCCCTGGTGTTATGAGATGTTCTGAAATTGTTAAGAACATTTTGATCTGCAATTTACAATAGTTGAGAACTGTTTAGAACGATGGACATTTAATGTGCCATGTGCCATGTGCACCTTTCCAAACACTATTAACAGGAAATACCTCTGCATCCCAGCCAGTATTTCAAGGTGTTGCAAGAACCCTTGCTGTGCTCTTGTGGATGGGATCTCATTGCCAGCCTTGACGGGATGGACACGGTGTTTTCTTCGGTGACGACGCTTTGGCTGCCAGCAACGGTAGGTTGGAATGGCATTAGGACCATGGCTGCGGCTGTGCTTGAAAAGGCAGCCCCCCCCCACTCAGTCAAAGAACAACCAGTATGATTTTAAGTGAAGGTTCCCATATCGAGGCGTTGCACAAACGAAGAACACATCGACATAGATCCTCTACTTGGGGACATTGATGTCTTCAATCTATAGATTCAAGTAGAATGGACATCACCGGCTCCTCGTTGACTCCAGGCACGACATGCGATCCTCTCGTGGCGGCTGAAACGGTGCGGCAGCCAGCTCGCTAGTTGCGCGCTCGCTCCGCAGCGATCTGAAGGCTGGTCCTTGGCTGCGTGTACGCCGGGTGCATGGAACACTAACAAAAACAAGAAACACACACACAACAACAAAACAACAGTTTTTAATTAGGATTAAGTAGGTCTTCTTTTTGTCATTTTTCAGGTTCATTGTCAAGCTTCCCGGGTCCCGGGTGTATGTGCCATGGTCCGCAGTCCTAAGCGCTTCAGTCGAGGTGTCCAGCGGTTTCGTTGATCCCTCACCGGGACTCTCTTGTAATCAGTAAATATAGCGGTCTTGGCACCAGGATACCTTCGTTGACCTGGCGATACTTCATTTGAACAAACATATATGTTGGAGCTCCAGGCTTTGACCCATTCATATATATATATATATATATGTATCTTTGCTAGCAAAGGGGGTGGAGGAAGTCCTTGTAGCGCCGAGCAGCTCCCTTTTGGAAGGGGGAAGATGAATACAGCGGCTCCGAATTGTTCCCTTCTGAGAACCAGCTAGTTTGGTATGGTGTAGGTGTGACTTGCGGCTGAAGTTGTGCCATTGCTGTTGGATGGTCTTTGTGCAAGTCATGCTCCAGGTTATAGTTAGCATGAATGAATGAAATTGATATGGATCAAGAAAGTCTTGTTGAGGGTGAGCCAGCACAGAGGAAATGTACATTAATTAGAACAGGCATGACACGGCATATATGATGTACTAGAAGATGCGAACATGCAGATATTAGAGTGTAACATATAGATCTTCTTTTGATGTGAGGACCCAGATAGAATCATCCTGTCAGGAACCAGATTCTGGAATACGTCTCCTATGATGACCATGAGCATACGTTCCTCACAGCGCTACTGAGGTTGTCAATGGCGGGGATGCCAACTGAGACTAAGAACCCAAGAACCCAAATCTACATCTACACACGGGTGAAGGATTCAAGATAATGACTCTCCTAAATCGGTGCTGGGTCGCATGGCTTCGCTTGTGATGGCTCTCTTGCGGCCCACGGAGCCCTAAGGCCCTACTTGATTTACAGCTTGGCCTGTGCCACCGTGATGTTTGGCCTCTTAGCCCCTTGGCCGGAGGCGAGGGCAGTTAGGTCCACGAAGGAGGTCGGTGCGCATTTGGAGGTCGGTCATCCCCAAATCGTTCATTCCAACTTGCAGACGTTGCATGAGCTCGGCCAAACGACTCGTAAAAAAGGCTTCGAAGGAATCACTTTGACAACTTCCCAATATCTTCCTATAAATATACAATGTTGTTTCCGGTGTGCTGTATCTTTTTGATTGGAAAACTCAGGCAGCTTTGGAAATTGTTTTAAAGTTAATGCATGTTGTTCAAGCAAACTTAATTTATCAGAGCGAACTAGGAACATGTAAGAACTCTTTGGTATTTCTTGTTATATAGCAAGTTTTTACGTCCAACCAACCCATATGGCCTTGCAGGGCTTTGCTGGTGCAACATATTCTGGTGTACTCCTTGAGTGTCCCAGAACTAGAAAACTGCACATCCATCACTCGCTTGGGTGGCAAAACTTATGCAAACAAAGACATGCCCATGCTAATGACCTTGTACCTAGCTACCTTCCTGCCGTGCCTCCTGCCATGCTTCATGACCTGCATAGATTGATGTGACCAGCCTGCTGAGATCGGCTGAGGTTTGGAACATTGTGAAAGGCGTCGGGTGCCTTTTTGTGCTGTTGGAGTGCATTGGTAGATGCGTAGATGAGATGCACAAGGATGCACAAGGTGTTTGGTTGTTTCTTTGTTTTTTTGTTGATTGTTTTGTTTTTATTGTGTTGTTTGTCTATTGTTTTCCCCCGATCTCTACACATGTACGAGATTGTCAGATAAAGACATCGGGCCCTAGGGCAGCCGGATTCAGAGTCAGCAAGCAACGGTCAGGCAGCTACTTGGGGGTTGCACCAAGATCCAGGCAGCGGGATTTGCATGAAGCCTTTTCGCCTTGCCAAGATCCAGAACAACTGGAACCTTCCGCAGTGGAAACACCACCGTTGGTAGCTCAGCTCCTTTTTGGAGATGTTGGCAGCTCAGGCAGCTCAGTTCGTTTCAGAGGTCAGACAGTTGCCAGATGCTGCAAGACGCTAACTGACCCTTTCTGATTCTCTTCGGCTCGCGTGATGCTCGAAGGACTCGGATAGAATGAAATGGAACAGAAAACAACACCTCAATCAGCAGTATGAGATGCTCCATTTCTTTCCACCCAGCTAGTGAGAGGTCAGTTCTCCCAAACCTGTTACGGCAGCCACGCACATGGACCGAACCACCGATGGAGCAGAGGTTGGGAAGAAGTCTTGGAGGTCACGATTGGCCTCGTGCCGCTTGGAGCAGAGCCATCATGAGCCCGTCGACAACAGATGAAACATTAATGTACATACTGTCCTCGTAGGTGATACAAGTAGGGCCGCATTCATCTGATACAGGTCGGGTGGTATGTTTTTAATAGTTTTGTTGAGCTTCCCGGACCTGGGTTGTGCTTTTACTCCGATGGGACCCGCTGTTGGATGGAGGCAATAAGAATCGGAAAACGCTACTGATTGAACGTATCCTGACGGACGAGGATTTCAATGGATTTGACCGCATATATTTTCTGGGGAAGAACGCCCCAAGACTGTTACACGGAAGGGATTCTCACAACGCTTGCAACAGATGAAACCGTGATCGTGGTGGTATTCGTTTCATCGCAAGGGCATGTCCGTTCCGAGCTTCAGCCAGGATTGTCCTCGAGGTCCTCCTGACCCTGCGCGTGCTTGGGGTCCGGGACCCCCGATTGGTGGCAATTCCGGGAGGGGAGGTCCCTCTCCACGGAAGCCGAGCTTGGCCGGTGCCCGTGATCCATCCACTTGGCAGCCAGGCATGTTTGTTGGGGCTCGGGGGGAGTGGACTTAGAATACAGTAGACACAAACCCAAGACCCCATACTGTATAAGTTTCATCTTAGAATACAGTGGACTTCTCTATACATCTTGTTCTTTCTTTTCTATGATGTTTAAAGTTTTAAAAGATGAAACGCAATGAAACGCACACTTTCAAGATCCAGATCATTTCAAGGGGCCCACACCTGGGATGTGTTAAAGGTCTTCTGTGGGATGTGTGAGTTGTTGCTACGAGCCGACAAACAGCTTGTTGGAGCCTTTGGGTTGGGAGACATCATACACCAAGAGGACGCCGGCATGTTGCTGTTCATTCCTCTTGTTGCATGATGTGCACTGAACAGATGGCACAACTCAGTCTCCTTCAGCTTCTCCAGCCATCTACACCAGACTGGTCAACACTAATAGGTCAGACGCCCGTGAGTCTATCGCAGTGATCCACCCGCACCCGCACTCCAAAGAGTACTCGGTCGTGCTCAAAAGAGCTATTCTTCAGTGATGGAGTGTGAAAATCTCCAAGTCCCAGACGTGAGGTGTCCTCCATCTTCTCGGACATGTTCAATGTGTCTCCATCGTGTCGACCGTCGTGTCCACCGTCGTGTCGACCAGAGATCTTCAGATCTCCGAAGTCTTACTGTAAGACATTAGATTAAACAAACAAACCTCGGAATCTCTCACCTGAAAGTCCCAAAAGCATCCCAAAGCCTCAATTCATGCATGAACATGCATGAACATCGCGGTAGCCAAATGTTCCAACAAGTCAGGTGTTTTGTACATGTCCGTGAACCAGAGGGGAACTGGCCAGATTGAGGTGCGAGACTTCTTGGCCAATCCCTGGTGTGTTTTCGATGCGTTCGGGCTCTTAGCTTCCATTGGCGAAATAGCTGAACGGTGTGCTGGCTTGAGTCGTCTACAGATCGATACACAATGTTTCTAAGGAAAAAACAGGGGTTGGAAAGGCATTTCCTTGCATGGCTAGTGTTGGAAAGCTTGACCACTTGCTACAAGTTCTCCTTGCAGAAATGTTGGAGAAATCAATGGCAATTCGTTATGCAACGGAAAAGAAAGCGCTCTTGGCACTTGGCCATGATAAGACAAGTGGGTTCCTCCTCTGTCTCCAGGTGTTAAGCTCTTGGCACTTCAATTTCTTAACCCATTTTCCAGGACCGTGGCTGTGCTTACAGTTGTGGGGAACTCAGCGGGGGCAGCATGGAGTTCTGTTTTTCGGCTCTGAGCTGGAGAAAACACAGAGGTTCTGAGGATTTGTTCCGGTAATCAAGGTGTATCGACAAGCCAACTGTTGGAGACTTGATATGTCATACAACAGATGTCTCTTGCGTGCGCATTGTATGTATAGCATAGCAGCATTATAATTCCCTAGAACCAGACATAACCTTTGTGTGGGGCTTTGTCAAAGACATGAAAAGACCATGTTTGGGCTCCAAAACCGGGGTCATGTTTGCTTTGGGTCCTTTTTTTGGTACTTCATCCATTCAGTTCTGGCCACCAGCGAGCCTTCAACTTTGTCCCAAGGTTTCAACCGGCTACGGCCTGGAGCATTTGGGCCGGCAGGGAGAGATTTGCGAGGCAGATCTGGCACCTCAGTCAGATCGTGTCTGACAGAGGGTCCAACACGAAGTTTCCATCAGTCCGATCCATCTAAAAGAACCGTCCAAGTTTGGGAGAGACACGTCGAGAGTGAAAAGAGGTTTTACTTGCTGGGTGTGTGTCTGTGTGTGCAACTGACCTACTTGCATGGTTTCTGGCAAACGAATGCTTTTGTTTGATGTCAGGCGCAGCTCCCCTTGCTTTTTCTGCGCTTTGTGCTTCAACCTGCTCGACTGCTAGCTGCTGTGGTTGGGGCAGCCCAGGCAGCCCAGTTCTTTTTTCACCACATTGACGTGTGCTTTTTTGTTTTTAGTGTGGTATCCGCTCCTCCTTCCCGCCTCCTCTTCCCCACCAATTGCCACCAACCAATTGCCGACAATTAGTTGGTGGCAATTTGTTGGTGGCAATTGGTTGGTAGCAATTGGTGGGTGGCAATTGGTTGGTATTGGTTGGTGGAAATTGGTGGGTGGCAAATGGTTGTGACAAGTGGTGGGTACCAACCAACTGCCACCAACCAATTGCCACCCACCAATTGTCACCAACCAACTGTCACCAACCAATTGCTACTAACCAACTTGCCACCAACCAATAGTCACCCACCAACCGCCAATTGTCCGCTCCTGTGTCTGGTGAAGTTGTCAACATTTGGGGTCATCTGGTCCTATAATTACAGGTGTTTTGTGTTTTTGCCGACTGATTGGTGGACAAAAAACATCGTTGCGGTCCAATAACACCCTCTCATCCCGTCGTTGAGAGACTCAGCGACTAGGACCACTTTCTGTTCAAAGGAGCCTGGCCGAACGCCCAATGCGAGCAGCACAGTTTTGAGTGCCAGCAAGGCTGTATACGCGAAGTGCCGGTCCATCGGAATAGGGCTGCAGCATTGGTTGCCAGCAATTGTATCATATTCCCTCTATATTAAATCAACCATCAGCCGGGAACATGCTTGCCATCAGACGGTCAAAGGAGGCTCACGTTGGTCAGATCTGATGCGTTGGATTCGTGGAGTGCTTTTCGGTCGAATGCATCCGACCTATACCTGCGCTGCGGATCCCGAAGGTACGGAAGGTAGTGCGACGGTTCCGCCTGGCGACTGTTCCGACGCGTCCAAAAGAGAGACCGTTGGAATCCTTTGGATCCAGCCACCCTCAGTCATTTGTTCCAAGATGATAACATGAAATGTTTTTTTTGGCTCATTATTATTCTCATTTCTTCCCGAAAAGTTCCCTCATTCCACGAGTCAGAAGCAGGAATTCATTCCCCTCCCCACACACGCACCCACCCACCCACGCACACGACTTGCGGTCCATTCATTCCATGGAATCCAAGAAGGATTCCAGATGATTTTGGTTTGCACTTCATATAAGCCATTGGTGTAGCCTGTCCCGATGATTTCATGCTCAACAGAAATAACAAAAATCCTGATCTTCAACAACAAAAATCATCAAAACTCAGTCGCATCAGTCAGTCCGATTCCCCCAACAAGAAACACCACCCCCTCGATGAGCTCAGACGGCCCGCGCGGGGACGTGTGAACCGTGAACCTCCGAGGTCTCAACCTGGCGAACCCGACGGATGCAGCGCGGGACCTCGTCCCCAGACGAGTTTTGGCAGATGAACACCATTGAACACCTTTACTGTTTGCTTAAAATAGATCCTTTTTCCCCACCTGTCAGGTGAGGGTTGTTAGATGTTTACAGATTCAGATAGCCTTCTCCTCCTTCTCCTTCTCCTTCTCCCCCTTCTCCTCCGCCCCGGACCTCAACAGCAAGTGCCAGATAGCAGTGGGCACTGCCGGACCTCAACCGCAAGTGCCAGATACGCAGCGAGCACTACCGGCTCTCAACCGCAAGCGCCAGATCACATTTGGGCACTGCCGGACCTCAACACACAAAGCGCAACCGCACAACATCACCACAAGCACAGAAGACAAACCGCGGCGAAAAAACACAACCGCAATAACCAAAAGCACACAACCACAAACAAGCAACCACAAACACACAACTACAAGTACACAATCGCAAACATACAACCACAAACACAAAGTCACAAACACACAGCCACAAACACAGCCACAAACACAATCACAAACACACATCGACAAACACACAAACCACAAACGCAATCACGAACACGCAAACGCGCAACCACAAACACAAAGACAACCACAAGCAGACAAACACAATGACAAACACAAACACACAACCACAAGCACACAACCACAAGCACACAAACACAAACACAATCACAAACACACAACCACAAACATACAACCACAAACACAACTTGAGACACGATCACAAACATATCCCGCGAACACACATTTCCCAAACAAAACCACCAGCACGCAGCAGCACAACCAAACACGACAACAAACACACAACCATAAACACATCCACAAACACACAATGACAACAATAAAGCCACAAACACAATCGCAACCACAAACACACAACCACAACCACAAAAACAACGGAACAACACAATCACACAACCACAGCACAAAACCACAACACACCAACCACAATACACAACCACAACACTCGAACACAACCACAAAAACACAACCACAAACACACAACTCCTCACCTTGGCATGAAAACAAATGATTGACTTGTCATGGTGGGGATCACTCGAAGTAGGGTAATTTTCATGTCTCAGCTAGAGGGTCATAGCATGCCAGCCACCCTCCCTGCAACAATCATTGAAGTGGACAACCCCCTCTTGGTAGAGGAAGATAGTGCCATTGTCCGCTTCCGTGATTCTTTCAAGGGAGTGTAAATGATATTTAAAATTCGTTTTAAAATAACAGAAACGGGGAACTCGCTGCATTCATGTCCAATTCGAGTCCCGAACAAGCCTTTTTTTGATGCTGTTCCATGGGACAGACCGGATGTGAACCAATGTGACTTACCTCTTTGCAATGAGTTCAATTGGCACAAACCCAAGACCATTATGACTTCTCACAGTCATTAGATGTCATTAGGCTTTCCGCCATCATTTCCAGTTCAAACTCTCAAAAAATCCCCGCGGCATGAGTCAACAGAGTTTCATAAACGTGAGGACACTCCAGAAAAGGACAAAAACAAGAGTTCAAAACATTGTTTTGGCCAGTGACTTCCTGTTCGGAACCTTTTGATCTCCCTGTGCCGTGTCCGATGGATGTGAGAAATCGGTTCGGCGTCCGCTCGGCTCGTCGTCGGCGAGGTTGGATGCGCACGAGCTGCGCGTGGATGTGAGAAATCTCTCCACGAACGGCACACGCTTCCAAGCTCTTCAGGCGAACTCGTGCTGTGAGGCCAGTGAGCCGAGTGAGCCAATTGTTCGTCCTCAAAAAGTTTGTTTGCCAAGTGGTTCAGATACGGGTTGCCCAAAACACACCGGCAAGAGTTTTAAAAACTGTGTAGTTTTGGTTTGTATGAAAACTGAGATTGGGAAGAAGGTTTGTTCCAGACGAGGCGCCCTTGATTTCCCTTTGACGCCTTCAATGTTCGGCTCAGGAACTCAACTGAGAACGCAATCCGGGTGGCAAAGCGTCCGAGCCCTCAAAAACGGGTGAAAGGGAATGACAAAGAGGTGCCAAGGATAGCTGCTGCAACATTGACGCGAGGGGGGGGGCAGCAAGACTGGAAAGACTAATTTTTCATCAAGAAACACAAAACCACCAGAGAAGACAAGGCCGCGGCCCATATTCTGTGCTTCGCCACTTTAAGGACGAGAAACAAACCGGCCGCCTTCTTTCACAGCAGCATGACATTGTTTTCATGATAGGGACCTACAGCGAGGTTCGGTTAGAGTATTTAGACTTGTGCAGCGAGCAAGGAGGAGGTTCTAGTTGTTTGTTAATGCCTCAATGATGCTGTGCTTTTTGTAACTTGGACCATCTTCGGGGCTTCATGATGTTTCATGTTGAGCACGTGGACACTGGAAAGTGTATGTCGCACACACCTCGGATGCACAGCAGCCCTACTCCGTGTGGCACCGTCCAAAGTGGCGGCGAGGTCGACGAGAAAAAGACAGTCACGTTGGACTGACGAAGAGAAAGTCTTTTGGGGAATAGGTCCAAGGCTAGGTTGTTGAGCTTGGCACCGGGGTTCATGGCTAGTAGTAACAAGTGCCACGCTAGTAGTAACAAGTGCCTTACTAGTAGTAACAAGAAGCTATTAGACTTAAATTTAATTTTGCTCCGTAGATGTCGGATGGAGTGGGGATTGGCGCATGTGTTCGTGGGTCCATGAGTCCGGACTGCTCTGGCTCACATCGGTCCTTTAAAGGGGTCCGACTGTCGGTCCTATTGATTCCTTATGATTGATTCGTTGATGCAAGGCTTACCACCTTCTTCCGCGTTTTCTATCAATGCCCTTGCTTGAAGTCCTAAGCAGCTTGTTGACGCAGTTTCTTGCCACCCAAATAAAACAAAAAGAACAACTCTCCCTGTCCCTGCAGAAGACTGCTCAATTTGTTGCCGCTTGAGGGGCGAAACCAAGAGCTCTTGAGAGGGCAGGCAGGTCAAACTTCAAGAGCACTTAGCTGGCCCGCATGAAACATACTGTTGCCCTTTGGCCCTTTGACTCACCAACATGGAAGTGGATGGCATGGTCCCGAGTTCGGAAGACAACTTTCCTCTACCCGCCGCGGGGGTTAGTGCTCCACTTCCATGCTAGTCAGTCAGAGTGGTGAGGCAATGTGATACATATGGGTGTGTATTTTAGGAGGGAGACACCTCGGCCCTGGCTGGGTAGACTGGACGATGTTTCATTTTTGTTGAACCTTCCACGAGGTCGGAAAGCCTCGAAGGTCTCCCTAAGGACCCAGCTACACACCCAGAAGTCTCCCATGTGCGGAACCTTCCAGGGCCTTCGACATGCTCCGATCCCGCATCCGATACTTCGACGAAGTAGCGTCTGATGCCAAGCTAGGCGCCGCCCTCAAATGATTTCAGGCTTCGACGATGGGAAGATAGTTGTTTAAACAGTGGAACAGATCAACCGAAGTCACAGGCTCTTCACAGTAAATCAACATTATATATGGCAGCGAATTCAGGTGATAACATTGAATTGATCCATCACACCATCCCCATCCCATCCGTCATGACCGCACAATCTCACCTTCTTTTCTGCAATCACATCCTTTTTGACAAGGCGATTGAAGAGTTGACTCCTTCCGAATTCTTCACAGCCCACGCTTCATTTTATCCCAGAACCTTCCCTTGCACAAGACATGCCAACCAACCCAACAAAAACATGTCATCCCACCTCCCAACACCAATGAAGGCGACCTCCCACCCTGTATCGCACCCTGATTTTTCACGCGCGCTACGACGCCTTGCCGGCCGGAGCAACACACCGGGTCGGACCGGCCATGTCGGTCGAACGCCCCATTCGCTTGAGATGGTCCCAGGAGGAGTGTTTTCGGTGGTCCGGTGGTTTTTCAGACGTGGAAAAGGAGAGGAGACGGAGGAGAGGATTGAACACTCATGGTCAGTCATACTGAAGCAAATTCACTGTCATGTGTTGAACATTGAGGTTCCAGATGTTTTGATTGTAAATTCACTGTCATACTGAATCTCATGCCTCACGCATCCAGGGGCGCCCCATTTTGGGCCAATCCAGGAGAAAAATCTTGGGACGTTTCTTCACTGCCCCAAATGGGGTTGGAATAATGCCTCCCAGCATGCAGTTTATTAGTAGGAGCTGTTCCCAAAGTACCTACATTAAGCCCCAGAAAGCGATAAGAGGAAAATACATGCAAAAACAATCGACAACGATGAATGACATCAGGACATGTTGATTTAGGGATGATTGCTTGCAGTGTGTTGCACTTACAATTTGGAGCTGGATTTGTGCATTCATTGATCCATCCGCTGGCATGATAGACATCGAGGTTCACTCTAGAGCTCGTGGTATCTTTGGCGGATTTTGGAGGGTATCAGAACGGTAACAAAAACGATATAGCTATGTAATATATTATATATAACTATATAACGTTTCCCTCAAAAAGGTGCATGCGTGACCTAGCCGTTCTTTTTCATGTTTTTCATGTGGTATACACTCATGCCTTTGCAAGCACTTCCCACTCCCCAAAACTGCAAGCATTCCTACTACATCAACCTCTCCGAGGTTTGAGCAGACTGCCGCAGCTTCGAATCAATTGCTGCATACTGTGCTGAACCACGCAAATGTCAGCACCATACGGGCCCCTTTTATGGGATGAAGCCACCAGATTCAGGTTACACGATTCAGCTGTGCAAAACTCTCATCAGACAATGGCGGAAACTGGAGACTGAAAGAGAAGTGCGCATCCATGCAGCTTCGGAAGGGGTCCTATATATACTATAATGACATACTATCCACATCCATGAACATGACATATCATATACATATTCATATCACATATCCCTACATATCATAGGGTCCCAAACCATTAGAATAACCAACAACGATTAAGAGGAACATGATATTTACTATAGCATACAAAGCCCTTCATGTGATGAGAGGAAAGCACCAACATTTTGCTGCCAAATGGACATAGCAAGTTGTGTATGGGGTTGGGTTTCTTCACAACCCCCAGATCATCCCATTTCGAGGTCGCCGGACAGGTCGCCGGCGACCTGGGTTTTCGGCCGTTCGCCGCTGTGTTCGCGCCTGGCCGACGTGCAGGATGCCTTGCTGGAGACCTTTACCCAGAGGCATCCATACTTCCTCCTGGCCGCCAGCGACCCCAGGCGACAGAAAAGAAGGATTTGTGATACTAGAAGCGATGCACTTCTTGTTACTACTAGCGTCCTTAATGAAGTGATGAAACAATGTCCATTTGCATTCAACTGGGCCACTCATTCATCTGCTTTTTCTCTGGAGCTTCCCCATGGTGTTGGTGCTTGATTGATATCATTGAAATTCAATCCACCGACATCAGTTCTAACTACATGGGTGGGACGTGGGGGAAAGCGACATCAGGACCGCAATTCCGCCCCGACAGAGACCTCGTTTGACTAAGTTCACCTATCATAGAAGAACAAGACCGAATGAGGTCAATAACCAATAATTTTGCTGCAGACCATGGTAGATCCAGACAGAGCAAACCTTGATTGGGCACATGCAATGGCTGCCAGAGCAAAATCTTGGTGTCCGTGAGGGCACTGACGGAGTGTCATTTTGTTTGCATGCCTTCACTGTTTGAAAGATAGGCCTTAAAAACAATTCGATCTTTATTCAATGTGTTTTTCCCAGAAGCATTGGCGTCATGGCCACGTTGGAAGCTCGTGGGATAAATTACGGACATTTGGTAGCGCGCAATGGTTTTGTGCAGATGGTTGCAATGTGTTGCATGCCTCGAGATCGTCCCATGCGGGGTATTGCGCGGGTCCCCAAGTCATCACCTGCTGAACGGAGCGTGCATGGTTGCGCGCCCTGGAGATCTCCCCTGCTGAAATAACGGCTTGGCTGTTCCATCGCTTTGCAGATGGACGAACAACATGGAAATCCAACGATCTTACATGTTGCTTTCGTTTGGGGCATTGGTGGTTGTACGTGCAGAGCCACGGCTGTCGTGCATGTCGATTTCAAGTGTGAAAGTAATTGAAAGTAAGTCAGGTGTGTAAATGAGTGCTTTTTTAACTGTCAGGTTTTGTAGAGGTGGGATGTTCACCTTAGGCGAAGCATACACCGTAATTTTAGTCAACAATCCTCTCCAGGGGAAGATCATTGTTGACATGTGTGGTGTTTGGTTGTTCATACATTGTTACATTCTCTTCCTTGGTGTCTTAGAGATTTAGAGATTTGCAAGGTGTTTTTTATCGGTTTCCAAAGAGTTTACTTTGTGGAATGGATTTCAATGATGTTTTGGCTGACCGTCCAAGCAAGAGCAGCCTTACCAGGTCACGCCTTACTTGGGTGTATTGACTGTCTTGAAGCATTCCCATCAACAGCAACTCGAGGGAAAACCATCGATCGCACATGATGAAACGTTCCTCTTGAACCATGAAACATGGTTGTAAAGGCCTCATATTGCGCACCCTGTTCATGTCCAAATCAAAATTTCGTCCAAAATCCGACCATACCCCTTGGGATTCCAATCACACGGTGGGGGTGCATGGAGGGTGCAAGGCTGAAAATGGACTCGTTACAGCAGCCCGCGGCATTTAACATGTTCTTGTTGCACTTTGCTTTCTGCTTCCGGGCGATGGATAACAGTTGCAGACGCTTGGACAAGCTTAGACTCAAATTCGTCAAGCAAGTGGCGATCATGCAATTTGTGTTTGGGACACACCTTAGACACTGTGATTCGCTAACGTTGGGCAACAAAGCTGCATCACGGAAACGGCGTGGCAAAGAGGAATCTGGTTACGTTTTGAGTCACCAATCACCGTGCGCATTTCAAGATTTAGACTGTCCGCGCAGAACTGGATCCACGCATCAGTGCTTACCATGAGCACCTTTTGGATCTTTTTGGCTCAGTTTGTGCCGGAAATACACGCCGCACAAAAATGGAATAGTCATTGGATGACTGCCGCCATTTTGAGCAGAATGACGGACCAATCCACAGAGATGCATTCCAAGTTTTCACATTTGTTTGTCTCCAATTGCTTCCACGTTTGACTGTTGATTGGCATCAACAGTCAAATGTGGAAACAATTGGAGACATGTGTGCAGAATACAAGTGTCATGTAGGCGTGACCCCCCCGCAATCCCCAGGCAACAGCCCCATTTGAGTGACTGAGGCAGTCATGGCGTGCTTTGCCGTGGCGCCAAGAGCTGATGAGAATGTGCAGCCAGCGTAGAGTAAACAAAAGATAACAACAGAAGCAGATCATGTTCGCAGACTCAATTTTTTCGCCATTCATGCACATGAAAATGCAAACATGACAAAAAAAAAGTGTCAGTGGAACGCACCAGATGGTTTGGAATTCATATGGTGGAAACCCACCCAAAAAGTTAAAATGATATCCATGTGCTCAAATTGTCGCAGCCATTGGAACCTGTTGTCCCACCTACTCATTCATGATGTTGTTAATAATATGGGACAGTTTCGGGATGACAGTCTAAGTCTAAGAAGGACTCCGGTTCGTCATTCTGACTATGGAGAAAACCTCGCTTAGAAGAACGGGTTTTGCAAAATAATGATAGTTTCGCCAGCTTCACCGACCACATCAATTTTCGAAACGTTTTAGGCTTTCTGATACATCACTTTTGGTTGTATAATATAGTATTCCAGTTTGCCCCTGTGCCGACATTAACATGCCTTTCCTCAAGGCCACAAGTGGGATCCTTGCGGTGGTGATTCTCTTGCAGGTGAGCGGGGTTTATCAGCAGCATGCAGCATGTGCATGATTAGTATAAATGAAACAAAGCACGGATTCACCCATAGATCCTGGCAATTCATGATTTTCAATTACAGCTACAACATGCTACAGCATGCTAGTGCACCTACACTCTTGAGCTGCCTTTTGCTCTTTGAAGGGAACAACCGAACTGCCGAACTGCTCACCTTTTCGTTCCAATCATGTGGTTTTTGCTCGTTGCTTTCCTACGATGATGCCTCGGTGAGTGCCTCTGTGCTATGAAAAACTTTCCGAAGGAGTGAGTTAACTCATCGGCCTGAAGCCTTTCTTTGTCCAGAGTCGTGGGTCGCGGTATGTCTTTCTTTTGGGGGGAGGATCCGGGTCAAAGGGTTTACATATTTGGCGTGAAGGGTCAAAACTAAAAGGCCTGAGGGTGCAAATTCAGGGTAATTAAAGGATCATCCGAATTCGGATGGTACACGAAACCTGTTGGGGGTTGGGCGCGCTGCCAGAAACAGCTTGACCAGCTTGATGTGAGTGAAAAACACTGCTGCGAACACACATCACAACAGTCACTGGATTGGATCATGGGTTCCCAGCCGCAAATGGGGAAGTTCCAGGTCCACAGCTGGCTATTCCTCCTAGTGCAAATGAGTCACCCAGGTTGAAGCCGAAGAACTGCAGTGTGGTATCTGAACCCAGTGGCTCCAGTTTCAACTAGTTTGTAGGTCGGCGGAGCAGGCGGTTGTCCTCAGAAGGCCGAACGAACGAACTGGTTCCTTACTACATGTGGGCTGCCTGTAATCCACTTGGGAAGGGCTGCCTGGGCGAGGCGGCAATGATGACGTTCCTTTTCGACAAATCTGACCTGTCCCACTGTCCCACGTCGACGTTGCCGGTCTTTGTCGGCAGTATCTTTCGAGCTTGCACCAACTAATGGGCCTGGAGCCTCTAACATAACAGGAAACTTGAAGAAATCAGTCAAGAAACTCCAGGATTACCCCAATACACAATAAACATGATGATATATAATCTATATATATATATATGATGATACTTGTACCCACAGTTTGAATAGTTGGAGAGTCCAGGAGCTACTGAGTTGAAGCATGGTCTGTGGCCGACTCCGGCCTCAACTTTCGAAGTCGAGGCCCGCTCTAATGGGGGCTGCTTCAGGCGCAAGCCAGTCTCCAAGGCGCACGGGCACGGACGCACGGTGGACAGGAGAGCTAGGGGGGCCCAACCCCGAGCTATGGTGACGGGTGTGGTCTGGGGAAGCCCCACCATCAGGGCCGAAGCAATCGCCAGAAGTCGCTCCCCCTTTACATACTGGTCTAGATGCATGTGACTGTCCCTGAATTCTTGTTCTTTTCTGCTCGGCCTTGGGATACCATAGCTGTCCGTCGTCTCATAGACATACAAGTCCATTCCTGTGTTTACCTTTTTTTGGACCTCTATCTCATCTGTATATATATATATATATTTTGTTCTACTTTGTTTAAGGGAAGTACTTTGTTGCAGGAGGTGCCGTGTTCGCTGGCGGAATTTAAGTGGGAAGGTGCCGTGTTTGGAGGTCCGACCCCTGGGTCATTGGCCGGTCATTGCCATTGGCGCTTATGGTAAAGTTCTTGGGTGGTGAGTGGCGAAGGATTTTGCTGATTGTTTTCCTTTCATGCTTCTAACCCAATGCTTGAACCAATGGTCGAGCAGTGTTTGAAAGTTGAGCAAATCCTTCAAAGGTTACGCCGGTGTTACACTCCCTGAAGTAATCATTCATACGTGGATGGGCCTGTCAGGATGACCATGTTACTTGCACCAAACAGATGGTGCCATCCACATAACCATGATTCGTTCAGGGAGTGTACTTTGGATGTGTGTCGCATGAGTGTGTGTGTGTGTGTGTCAACCCCTGTTCCTAAGGGTTCTGTAATCCTGTTCAGCTACCACGGCAGGGGGATGCCCCACACCTGAAGAGAGGGCATCTAACAAAGCGGCCCTTCAGGATGTGCTGATATCAGCAAGGACGCTTGCTGACGTACCTGCACCTGAAACTGTTGCTCACGCTTTTCCACTTTCGATTTGATTCATGGTGGTTCCTGCGTGCTATCTGCCTAAACCCTTTCCTGCCACGTTTTGCCGCAGCTGATCGCCGCTTTCACTTGAGCGCGTTGAGAAACACTTGTTCAACAATACTGTTTTGCTGACTCATGCGCCTTTCCGTTCCCTCACCTTTTTCCACCTGGGAATTGAGTTAACAGCAAACCAATGTCAGAGTGTGAACCGCTCAGCCGTCCCACTTGGGTGCTGGGTGTGATCCTCCGCAAGGAGGCGCTGTTTTCATACCGGAACTCGTGTAACTGCCTTGACCGTATCCACCAAACCTTGGATTTTCTTAACTGCCTTCTTTCCACCCTGAATAAACCGCCTTTTGAGCCGCCGGGCTTTCACGGAGAACACCTGCTTACTGACAACATAGCCGCCGGGCTAAAAAACGGAATTCCACCTGAGGTCAGGCAGGTTTCCCAACCCCCCCCCCGCCGAGTTCTAACCCCTACCTAATTAGGGTAACAGAGGGAAATGGTACTCGGCACACTTGTGTGTCGGTGCCTTTCCCTCTGTTGTCCCTTTTCTAGTCTTCTCTACCCGGGCGGTTTAAGACTAAAGTCCCGCTCCCTAACTATTGCACGTAATTCGTTTCTGCTGAGTAGTCAGTAACTCTAGAGTGCTAAGTATTCATACACACACACACGGACACACGCACACATGTACATACACTTCCCTGCCCCCCCCACTTTCCTTCTTGCGCTTTTGGTCGTTTCTTGGGCTTTCTCTCAGGCCTTTTAGGTTGCTCTTGAGGCTCGTTTCCCTACCCCAGTCAAGGGCTAAGTATTCATTTTTTCTACACCTACCTTTCTCTCTTGCCCTCTTAGCGCTGCTCTTTCTGTGTTTCTTTCTTTTGTTTCTAAGGCTTTTTAGGTACCTATTCAGGTCGTTCACACGAGCGCCGCGAAGCGGCATCGTGTGTGTGTGTGTGTCAACCCCTGTTCCTAAGGGTTCTGTAATCCTGTTCAGCTACCACGGCAGGGGGATGCCCCACACCTGAAGAGAGGGCATCTAACAAAGAGGCTCTTCAGGATGTGCTGATATCAGCAAGGACGCTTGCTGACGTACCTGCACCTGAAACTGTTGTTCACGCTTTTCCACTTTCGATTTGATTCATGGTGGCTCCTGCATGCTATATCCCTAAACCCTTTCCTGCCACGTTTTGCCGCAGCTGATCGCCGCTTTCACTTGATCGCGTTGAGAAACACTTGTTCAACAATACTGTTTTGCTGACTCATGCGCCTTTCCGTTCCCTCACCTTTTTCCACCTGGGAATTGAGTTAACAGCAAACCAATGTCAGAGTGTGTCCGGGTCAGTTCGAAATCGGCTTCGCCTGACTTCGCCGGAGTTCGGAGTTTGGCGCCGTGACCATCCTTCACGCCAAGGATGGGCAATGCCATCCGGTTTAACGATTATCTCAGGATATTAAGTGTAA